AGATATATATATATATATATATATATATATATATATATATTTGTGTGTGTGTGCATGTTCATTCAGTTTATCATATTTGTGTTGTCATTCTAATCTTAATGTTTAAGCCAATTTGATTACTCGTCTTTTTGATTTATAATTTTGAATCTTGCTCGAAATTTCTAAACTTCATTTGGATCATTTCACCTAAAAATGACTTGTGCTAGGAATAGACTTGGATTTGTTAGTCATTTACATCCTTACACTTAATGCTTAAATTTAATCTTAATCATTGAGGGATCATTTTTCAAGGTTTAATCCTTAGACATTCAAGCTTGAGGAATAAGTTTGAGCAACTATATGAATGTGAGAATATGAAAACTTGAATTCACATAGAAAATTTATTAGAAAGCATAAATGTTTTGAAATTACATCTAACCCTAATCTCTCACTTGCATAGAAATCACTTCTTCGAGCGAAATTTGGTTAATAATATTTCATTTACAACTTATCTTAATTACATATTTGCTCAATATAATTATGTATGAATGTTTATACAAATTGAACTAGGAGAAAATTTACATAATATCTCCAAATTTCTTAAGATGATATCTTAAATTACTACACAAAATTTGGTCCGCTTGCTAAGTGTAAAAATCCTTCACTAGATAAGACCTCACAAAATTCAAGAAATATGTGTGGAGAACAAACCATAGTTGTAAAAATTGAATCAGTTGATCCAAATGATTTAATTGAGAATCGGTCCAAAGTTGATTTGATTCACTCAGAAAATCGTTCTATAGTGAATTGATCAAAATCAATAGAATTGTTCAAAACTAGTAAAAAAAAATGGTCCAACTATGAAAATATCTTTTTAAAATTAAAATTTAATTTAAAATATTTTTTATTAAATAATATTTAATAAGAAATTATAAATTAAAATAAGTTATTTTTAATACTTATCTCATAAATATAATTTTAAAATTTTATGTTAATTTAAAATTTTTAATATCTTTATTTTTTAATATTTTATATTATGTAAATTTGATACTTCTTATTTTATATGTAAACTTGTTATTATTAGTGGATATTGTTATATTTTATTAAAACTTAAACTTAAATATTATATTATGTATAATTTAGAGTTTTATGTGTATATTAAATGTTAAGAATTTATAAATAACATTTTATTTAATACTTAGTGTTATAAAATTATAATACTATATTTATTTAATATTTTTATATCAATAATAGTAATTATTATTATTTTATTAATACAAGTTTAATTATAATTCAACTATGATTGAACCATTGAACTTTGAATCAGTGCCTAAACTAGTTTAGTGCCTAAACTGGTTTAATGACTGATCTAATTTTAAAACATTGGAACAAAGTGAGTTAGAGAAATAAGATAAATATAAGCGAAATTATATATATATATATATATATATATATATATATATATATATAGAAAAAA